GGAGCCACGGGAAGTCACCCATTCATCTGTTTAAAAAGGGGACTGAACAGGGAACCAGGACAGTAGATTCCAGGGCAAAAAAAGCGCCATGAATCTCAGTGCCGCTGTTTTAAGCCAGAGCAGTGAGTCGCCGCCCGGGAAAACACACAGATCCTGGTGCCTCTTCAACAGGTGACTGGAACACCAACTTAAAAAAAAAAAAAGGCTCTGAGGCAGGGAGCCAGGCAATCAGGCTCGGCTGGTCCCACCCCCAAAAAGAACAGCAATCAGAAACTCTCTGGATTGAGAGTTTCACAGCAAGCGCAGCTGAACCCGGGACGGTCCAGCTCTGTGGGGGAGGGGCGTCCACCATTACCGAGGCACTCCAAAACTATGGAGGTAGCCAGCCAATGCTGAGGCAGCCCGCCATTGCCAAGGCAACCCGCCATTGCTGAGGCAGCCCGCCATTGCCAAGGCAACCCGCCACTACAGAGAGAGTCTGCCATAACAGAGGCGGGTCACCATTGCCGAGGCAGTTCTTCCCACCCCATTCCCTTATTTCTGCTTGTCACTGCCTGACATGCACGGCAGAGGCAAGGCTGCAGCAAACTTGCCTGGCTGTGCAGATCCCCTCCTGCTCCCCAGAGACTGCCTCCACCATCCCACAGATGATGGATCCTCAGTGGGTCCTCTTGGGCTCTAGGTCCTAGAGAATGTTGTGAGGGGGTTATAATTTTTTAAATAGTGTTCATAAAGAAATACATATTATTCTTCTCAAGATGTGGGGGAAGTTAATCTCATTATGGAGGCCCTGCTATGCTGTGTATCTGGGCGTGTTGTATATCTTGCTGCCCCATGGCTTCATCAAAAATGACTTGGAAGAGCAAAAAAAAAAAAAAAAAAAAAAACACCCATATAAACAGGACTGCAGGGAAGTTCACTCGGCAGCTGGGTGGAGCCCACAGCAGCTCAGCAAAGCCTCTAAAGGCAGACAGTGACTAGGCTGCCTCCTTGCTGGGCAGGGCAGCTCTGAAGGAAAAAAAAGAAGGCAGCAGCATAACGGAAACTCATAAATAAAGCCCTAAATCCCTGGGACAGAGCATCTGGGAACAAAAAGCAGTTGCTTTTTTTCCAACATACTTATTCATTGACATGACAGATATTTATTGAAAGCCTGTCTTCTCAGTATTGTGCTAGATGCAGGGTTACAAGGACAGGGAATGCGTAGTCCCTGCCCTCAAGGAGCCAGCAATCAGGTGAGGGAAAGCAGATGTGGAAACAGTCAGCCCTGAGGAATACTCAAATCGAGGGGTGAACGAAGTGCTGTTGAGGACCTATGTCAGGGAGGACCGGTTAGTTCACTATTCCTAGAACACTTAGATTTTCAGTGGCAGTTTAAAAAGGCACTTATTGCCCTCAACACTCTGAGCAGGGCCCCAGAGAGGGGATGCCTTGCAGAGCTACATCTGCGCAGGCACACACCATCACTTCTTGGTTGCTTGTGTTATGCGCCATGGATGATTTCACTGGGCTCTTCCAGTGGTTTCAGCAACAGTTTTAAGGAGAAAGCTGGTAATGATTCAAAACAACACAACAAGGGTAGGCCAAGTGGAAGGGTGTGCGGGGCAGGAGCCAGAGTGCCAAAGCCAGATAACATCTGACATGGGAAGATTTTGGAGGATAAATTTAAGCGGCACCTTTCTCTGCTAGGAATGCAATATGTTTCCCCAAGGACTGATATTTTGTCCAAATTCAGACACTTAACTTTAGTTATTTCCTTATAAATAGTCCATTCTCACCACATCTTTTTTATGACCTATGCATATCAAATTCCAGAGGGAATTTAAATGTCACTGTTTAAAATACCTGCCAGGTGGTGGTTCTATTGTGGCTGCTAATTTTGCACTGATAAAATGAGATGGCAGATACAAAAGAGCCATTTTCATTTGATATTTATTATTCACTGTTGTCAGAGCAAAATGTTTCTTAGAATATAATACATGTAATGTGATAAATTTATGAGTATTTTTAAGGCACAGAATCTTTAAAATATATATTTTATATATAGCGTTATTATTAAAAATTAGCAAGAAATCTCAGCACTTAATCAAATTATCAATGTTTTCATTTAGCCCAGTCACCTTTTAGTCCTCTGTGCATATGGTTAGGAATATCAAGTATTGATAAAAATTATATCATGTGTGAATAATTCACACTAGGTAATGATTATGCCCTAATTAAACAATCATCTCATTTTAAAAGAGAGCTAGAGAGATACAACCATGGGGACAGAAAAGCAATAATAACAAATTTGGCAGATACATGCAGATCAATTGAGACTTTATGATGAGGTTTTCATGTTGGCAC